CATTCAATTATTAAGACCAGATAAACGAGAAATGAGTCGTCGAAAATTCGCGAATGCCTTATCACCTTTATCTTGCTGAAAGAATTAAAAAAAAACATAATCGAAGTGTGCCAAATTTCTCAGAAACTTGTGATTCCTCGTACTTCTTTCGATAACGAAAGTGGTATATATGTCACGTATGTAATTTGTAATAATTATTTCGAGACTAATTAAATTTTGTTGCAAAAGTGAAATAGATAATTAGATTCTTTGTTGAACAAATACGATAGCAGAGGGTTAACGGAACATAATGGAGACGGAGGGTGATCGTTACCGGAAGTTTGGCACACTTACCTATCGACGGGACCTGTTCACTGGCGTGTGTAGGTGTGTCGATTTCCTCCAAATACAGAATGTACAATCGATATGTAGATGCGGTGACCGGAAGATTCACCGTTTGACGAATTAAAATTTAACATTAAAATTAGCGTTAAAATTATAATAACATAAAAATTAACGATAAAATGTAACATTAAAATTAATATTAAAATATAGCATTAAAATTAACATTAAAATTAACATTAAAATTGACGATAAAATTTAGCATTAAAATTGACGATAAAATATAACATTAAAATTAACATTAAAATATAACATTAAAATTAACATTAAAATATAGCATTAAAATTAACATTAAAATATAGCATTAAAATGAAATATTAAAATTAATATTAAAATATAACATTAAAATATAATCTTGTAAAATATAACAAAAATTATGTCCATTACATTCGTTCATTAATTATGTTAATTATGTTCATTTGATAAAGCGGTTGTCGTACATTAATTATGATATTTGTAGTACATTAATTATGTCAATTATATTCGTACGTTAATTATTCACTTATATTCGTACATTAATTACGTTAATTACATTTGGACGCTAATTACATTTCAGAGAGCACTTTCATGGGATAAACGGCTATATAGTGGAAGGGGAGTGCACTCAATTTTAATGGTCTCGTTTTGGGATGCAGAAATCTGAGTAGTAGGTACTTGGAAAGTTGGGAAATTTGGGAAGTTGGGAATTTAGAGAGATGGGAAATTTGGGTATTTGGGAATTTAGAGAGTTTGGAATTTGGGGGTTTAGGAAGTTAGAAAGTTTGGAAATTGGGAAGTTGGGAATTTAGAGAGTTTGGAATTTGGGGGTTTAGGAATTTAGAGAGTTTGGAAATTTGGAATTTGGGAATTTAGAGAGCTGGGAAATTTGGGATTTTGGGAATTTAGAGAGATGGGAATTTGGGGGTTTAGGAAGTTAGAGAGTTGGGAAATTTGGAATTTGGGAATTTAGGGTGCTGGGAAATTTGGGATTTTGGGAATTTAAAGAGATGGGAATTTGAGGGGTTAGGAAATTAGAGAGTTGGGAAATTTGGAATTTGGGAATTTAGTGAGCTGGGAATTTTGAAAGTTGGGAATTTGGGGGTTTAGGAATTTAGAGAGTTTGGAAATTAGGAATTTGGGAATTTAGAGAGTTGGAAATTTGGAGGTTTAGGAACTTAGAAAGTTGAGAAATTGGAAATTAGAAATTTAGAGAGGTGGAAAATTCTCAAATTCAGAAATATAGAAAACCTACAAATTCGTGAAGTTAGAAATTGCAAAATTTAGAAATCCATCCATTTGTAAATCTATAAATTCCTAAATCCATGAATTTAAAAACAGTAAATTTCTCAATCTCAAAACTTGAAGAACCAAAACTCCAAAAACTTAAAAATTTTCACCACCAATTGAATCATTAAAAAACGCGTTCAAAATACATTTCTGGCACACAAAATAATCAAATAAGTCCTTGTCGAGAGCACATCGATCATTTTCCCCGCATGATCGCAAGAACGCGGGTGTGTCGAATTATCCGGATGCGAAGTTGATGCTCGACGAGGAGCACCACGTGCATGAGAGCATAGTACTCGCACGATGAATTAGAATTTATCCGCTTGGTACACAATCGCCGCAGGTGCAGCTGGTAACGGGGACAAGGGCCTGGAATTGCGTGTACGAATACACGCGTAATCGAGCGTTAAGTAATTTACATTTGTAAAGGTGCACGGTTCGTTTCGTTTGACGTAACCTAAATGTGTTCTTTATTTTCGACTTTTACTTCCGTGTCTTAATTGGGACGTCTTTTCATTTATGCGCACCGTTCAAGAATTTACATTTGCATTTCTTTTTTGAATTTTCGATTGGAAGATTTTATTACATTGTGATTTTACTGTTGAATATATGTAGAGTGATACAGTTAATTTTTTGTGATGTTCAATTTTTGGTGGAGAATATAATTTGTATGTAGAGGTAGGGTTTAATTTGAAAGGTAGCATAAAATCAGAGACGGTAATAAGGAAGACTTGTCTGGTCTAAAATTGTCTTTTTGATAAGATTTCACTCGATAAGTACATATCGAGTGAACGGGTAAACATAAAACGAGCATTTCATATATCATTTTAATCTGCAATCGTGTTTGATCTCAAACCACAACAAAGGAATTCTGCAAACTTCCGAGAAAATACGAATGAAACACTTCAAGTACTTTCAGAAGAAATACAGAATTAAATAGAACTAAATAAAATTATGATACAACGTTTAAGAATATTTACCCGAAGCACCAATTACAAAAACAATTAATCCAAATGTATGCAAAGTTAATTAAAGTTGCTACGATTATTCAGCACAAAATTCATCGAATAAACATCAGGGTTATACGAACCTAATAATTGTTACATCTGTAAAGGAAGCAGCTAGAAAATAGCGCCGTCGTTCTTCCATGAGATCACGTCATAGTGTGGAATAGAAACCCGTATGAATTTAATTAACCGAGATTATTCGGAATCGGGTTTCATGCAAGACATATTCGATCCGCGTAGCGTTAAGATCGTGCTTTTAATTCGATGCGAATAAGCTCGTTTAACTGTTGTTTGTGATCGGTTTACATGCTCGCGACAAACGTTTCGCGACACAGAGGACGAGAGAACAGATGCTGCGAAAATTGGTGATCTGTTCAATTAAATCGGTCGATGCAATGAGTACAGGCTCTCGAGGAAGCATAGGTCATTGATATGCCAACGAGGCGAAGACCTTGGCTACGTCTCGTCACGAGCATTCTATTTCCTATGAATCTTAATCGCGCGTTGCACGTTTCTGATCCTCTATTTTTACTGTTTAACGTTGGATAATGGACTTCTTGGAAATATGTGGGGACGAGGTTTTAGTATTTTGCGGTTGAATGCATTTTTTATTGATTGCTGATGGATTTTTATACGTTGGATTTAGGCCTGCTAGATTTCTACCCGCTAGATTACTACGCGTTGGATTTTTAGCCGTTAGATTACTGCACGCTGGAATTCTACGCGTTGGATTTCCATCCGCTAGATTTCTACGTGTTTGGATTTCCATCCGCTAGATTTCTACGCGTTGAATTTCCATCCGCTAGATTTCTACACGTTGGATGTCCATTCACTAGATTTCTACGCGTTAGATTACCACCCGTTGGATTTCTACGCGTTAGTTTACTACCCGTTGGATTCCTACGCGTTAGATTACCACTCGTTCAATTTCTACGCGTTGGATTTCCAGCTTTTAGATTTCTACGCGTTGGATTTCCACCCGCAAGATTTCTACGCGTTGCATTTCCACCCGTTGGATTCTTACGCGTTAGATTACCACCCGTTGGATTTCTACGCGTTAGTTTACTACCCGTTGGATTCCTACGCGTTAGATTACCACTCGTTCAATTTCTACGCGTTGGATTTCCAGCTTTTAGATTTCTACGCGTTGGATTTCCACCCGCAAGATTTCTACGCGTTGCATTTCCACCCGTTGGATTCTTACGCGTTAGATTACCACCCGTTGGATTTCTACGCGTTAGTTTACTACCCGTTGGATTCCTACGCGTTAGATTACCACTCGTTCAATATCTACGCGTTGGATTTCCAGCTTTTAGATTTCTACGCGTTGGATTTCCATCCACAAGATTTCTTCGCGTTGGATTTCCACCCGCAAGATTTCTACGCGTTGGATTTCCAGCCGCTAGATTTCTACGCGTTCGATTACCACTCGCTAAATTTCTACACGTTGGATTACCACCCGCTGGATTTCTACGCGTCGGATGTCTTGCGCGTTAGATTTCTAAGCGTAGGATTTCTCACACGTTGGATTTCGACGCGTTGTAATCTCCATGCGTTGGATTTCGACACGTAGTAATCTCCACGCGTTGTGTTACCATCCGTCAGAACTCTACGCGTTGTATCACCACGTATTGAATTTCTACGCGTAGTATTACCATCCATAGTACTTTTCATGCGTTGTATCACCACGCGTTGTATCACTACGCGTAGTATCATCATCCATAGTACTTCCCACGCGTTGTATCGCCACGAGTAGTGCTCTCCACGCGTTATATCGCCATGCATTGGATTTCTACGCGTAGCACTCTCTACACGTACTTCCCACGCATTATATCGCCACACACTAGAATCCTACGTGTTGTATCGCCACGAGTAGTGCTCTCCACGCGTTATATCGCCATGCATTGGATTTCTACGCGTAGCACTCTCTACACGTACCTCCCACGCATTATATCGCCACCCAGTGGAATCCCACGTGTTATATCGCCACGAGTATGCTCTCCACGCGTTATATCGGCATGTATTAGATTTCTACGCGTAGTACTCTATACATGTACTTCGCAAGCATTATATCGCCACTCACTAGAGTCCTACATGCTGTATCGCCACAGGTAGACTTACCACGCACTATATCGCCACCCATTACTGTCGCAGACATACCACCGCTCAAATTAAAAAATGAAGTCCATAGAACTATCTTCGCTCCATCGTATTTTTTCTATAGAAAGTGTACATACTTGAATTCTTAAAAATTGATAACTAAAAGGAAATAAATAATAAAATTGTTCTAATTTTACAAAATTTGTTGGATGTGAATCAGTAAGAATTTTGTCATTTTTGTTACAGGCTGAGTCCGAAGTAGCCGCTCTGAATCGTCGCATTCAATTGTTGGAGGAGGATCTCGAGAGATCCGAGGAACGTCTTGCTACCGCCACTGCTAAATTAGCAGAGGCGTCGCAGGCTGCGGATGAGAGCGAACGGTAAACGATGAACCACATTTTTATACGTTTCCTGCCGATGACGAGCATCGTACAGCCACGCAAATCTTTATTATAAATATCCGTCAGACTGGACACGAAGAACGTGCATCGTTGCACGGATATTTATAAAGAAACGCTCTTTGAACGTGGCTACTGTTTTACTCAATGGGTAGATAATAGCCCCCGTTGTGTACGATTTTATCGATTCAGTGAAAGTTTGATTCATAATGCACGGATCGAGTTAAAATTTATGAAGGTGTATGTTGTAGGAAATGTATGAATGAAAGGGGATTTAATTGAGGCATTTTTCTGAAGGACTGCTATTGTCTATACTGTTTGGTAGAACAGATGAATTTATTGTGAAGGAAATTAAATTATTGTGCTGTTTATGTTGAAGTTTTTATATAGTTTAAAAATTATTTATTTCTGGGAGATTTTATGAAGGAAATATTATCTGCTTGTGGGTTAAAATTTTCTTTTGTAAATAAAAATATCTTTTGTGAAATTATAGGTGCAACTCGTGAATAGTGTTTTATAAATGTTGCTGTTCATATGAATAACATTTTTAAATTCCTTTACAATAATCAATTGATACTTGACAGTAAAGTACGATGCTCAGACAACAATAATTAACATTGTTATTTATAGTTATTGAATCGAAAGAGCGAGCAAGATATCTGAATCCTAAAATTTGAATAAAAAATGTGTAAGTTTCAATCTCTCGAAGTTCCAAAATTGAAAAATTCCAAATTGCCCAAAATCCCCAAATTCTCAAAGTTCCAAATTCTTAAAATTCCAAATTCTCGAAATTCCAAATTTTCGAAATTCCAAATTCTCGAAATTCCAAATTCTCAAAGTTCCAAATTCTCGAAATTCCAAATTCCCAAAGTTCCAAATTCTCAAAGTTCCAAATTCTCGAAATTCCAAATTCTCGAAATTCCAAATTCTCAAAGTTCCAAATTCTCGAAATTCCAAATTCTCGAAATTCCAAATTCTCGAAATTCCAAATTCTCGAAATTCCAAATTCTCGAAATTCCAAATTCTCGAAATTCCAAATTCTCGAAATTCCAAATTCTCGAAATTCCAAATTCTCGAAATTCCAAATTCTCGAAATTCCAAATTCTCGAAATTCCAAATTCTCGAAATTCCAAATTCTCGAAATTCCAAATTCTCAAAGTTCCAAATTCTCAAAATTCCAAATTCTCAAAATTCCAAATTCTCAAAATTCCAAATTCTCAAAGTTCCAAATCCTCAAAATCCCCAAATTCTCAAAGTTCCAAATTCCCAAAGTTCCAAATTCTCAGTTCCAAATTCCCAAAGCTCCAAATTCTCGAAATTCCAAATTGTCAAAGTTCCAAATTCTCAAAATTCCAAATTCTCGAAATTCCAAATTTTCAAAATCCCCAAATTCCCAAAGTTCCAAATTCTCAAAATCCCCAAATTCCCAAAATCCCCAAATTCCCAAAATCTCATAAATCCCAAACGCCCCCACATCCAAAAATCAAGCCTCCCCTAAGTGACACATCATTCCAGAATGTATCCCAGTTTATCGACTGCAGCGAACCATAAGATTTATCTCGACAAAAAAAGTCACGTCTAATTGATTGTATTGCTCGTTCTTTCTATCGGCCATCAAGTGACGTTTTCCAACACTGTGATATCGATAGGACTAACCTTTCGACGTTGAAAGAACTTCAAAGATTACTTTCCCGGAATTCTCCGTTCGATTATTGTTTGCGTCAGTAACGATTTATCGATCGAACAAGTTATGACTTTCGACTTTCATGTGACTGAATCTTTACTTACGTTTTATTGAGTCATCAACGCATTGAAATGACGAATAGATTGTATCGCGGTTGATAAGCTGATAACGTTTGCGGTTATTTTGTCGCGGTACGAGTCTGATAAACGGCGGAGAATTCGCACATTTTGCTCGATGTTATACTCTTAAATATTTATATATTTTATGTATATTGTACTTGTTTAGGAACAAATTTTTCATTTCATGATTTAAATGATATTAATTCGTTTTGAATTTATTCTGATATGGGGAGGATAAATTAAGTTTGGAAGCTTGTTAGGTTATTCTGAAAGTTCGTGCTATAATTCATATCGATGGTTACAGTATTCAACATGTTTTGGAATGTTTAAAATATTTTTCTGCTTAAGAAACTGTTTGTCAGACTTCAGTATTCAGTTTGGATTTTCTATTAAAATATTCTCAGTACTTATTCATACAATATTGGTAATTCAATGTTTTATCACTTCAGTATCGTTGCAAAGATCAAAATAAATATACATATAACACAGTATCTTCATACATTTTTAGCATCAAGTATATTTACGTATTTATCAATAATTGCTGTACTTCCTTTTAAATTAATATTTAATACATCAATAATGAACATACATATCTCTTGCATATCACAGTGTACTCCATTTCTGATCACTTAACCTACATTTATTTAACGCATCTCGTTTACATTTTATTTAAAAAATACACAATCGAGAATATCACGTAGCACGAACTTTTGAATGTCTAACTAAAAATGGAAAGATAATCGCATTTGGTCGCGAGATACATTCTCTTGGTATGTCGACGATTTTTCTTTCAACGGCGATCAAATCGAAGCTAAAAATCGAATGATAATCGATCGCTAGGATACGCAAGGCACTCGAAAACCGTACCAATATGGAGGATGACCGGGTATCCTTGTTGGAGCAGCAACTAGCACAGGCTAAACTGATCGCCGAGGAGGCGGACAAAAAATACGAGGAGGTGGGTCACGTACCAACGAGCTAAAAATCTTTTGTCCCTTCGACTGCGAAATCTTCCTGACGAACCACATCTTGAGGAACCACAAGACTTAAATTTTGCAAGAAAATTTCTTCATTATTGATATTCCTGATCATATTTCCTTGGTCGAAGACCTTGTTTTTCTCTTCACAAGAACACAAGAAAATACACAGAGCTAAATAAACATTTCTGCTAGCTCGCGTATAGACTCAAAGATTAATTGATACAAATGATATCAGTCTGGAAAATATTAAAGCAAACGTTTCACAATTGTAACAAAGCCTCGAAAACACGAAATTGTCGAATTTCGAATATCTTTCCAAGTAAAAATTTAAGCAGGGTTCGTCAGCGAGGTTGGTTGTCGCAGGTAAACCTTTCCAGGAATCAGGTTTCCAGCAGGTAGCGGGTGAGCAGAGCAGTCGACCTCCATCTCCATCTCGTCCTTCGAGGACGAGACTGACGATGGAACATTCATGTATCGATAATGTCGCGACAGTATGTTAATCCGGATTGTTTGTGGTAATTATTAAAGAGCCCGCAAGATTCTCGAGAATCGCAGCTTGGCCGATGAAGAGCGCATGGACGCCCTCGAAAATCAGCTGAAGGAGGCCAGGTTCCTCGCTGAAGAAGCTGACAAGAAATACGATGAGGTTCGCGAGCCCACGACTGTCAAGCGTGATGGCTGCAGTGACGATCGAAATAACGATGATAATAACGATGACGATGGTTCCTAGTTGATAGTCGAGATAGTGCCTAACCCCATAACTCTCTGTCTTCTCTTTGTGTGCTCGATAAACCACCGTGACACCCGGTACACCTTTTCGATAACACTCGCTTTCAAAAATCTTCATTAATCCGTTCGAATTTTTTTATCCGGACCAAGAAATTTCGAATTCTTGTAGGGAAAATTCCATAAGTGTTTGAGGGGGGAATTCGTGAATATCTGTGATTACATCGAGCTATAAGTGTTTAACGGGTAAGAGAAGTGCAGTGTACATTCTTTTCTCGCGGTTTTTACGAAAAAGAGAAGTTCGGGAATAATGATCTAGTGGTGAGTGTCACGTGCTTTGGGCATCGAATTGATAAAAACCGTCGTATATCTGTGATTTCCAAAAAAAGAAGTGTTTGTTGGAGTAAATAAGTTTCAAGTGCCAGTTTCTAAAAATAATTAAATTTAGTTTAGCAAAATCGCGAATCTGGGTGGAGGTGGTTGTTGGGTCGCGTGTTGAGGCCGGAAACTGGCTCCGCAAAATAATATGGTTTTACACTCTGTGTTGTGATACGAACTTTGTTCGAGTCTCGTCGCGAAATGGTGCTGCTTTTGTCCAAAGACCTCCCATTTTCTTTATCGTCTTAGCTCTGGAATTCGGAACGTAATCGTAGCTCTGAAATGTCCGAATCCATCCATCTGTTATGGTAGGTGTCGCGTGGATGAATGGAAGTTACAAGGATTTTAATAAATGCAAACATTTTCATACATCTTCAACCTTTTAAATTCGCAACTTGCCGCATTTGCAGTCTAAAAATGCGCTCGTGTTTGCTTGTTTTGAAAGTTTATCGCATACGTGGAAAAACGGAATTCGTTATCTGAGAGTATCTCGGAATAAAATATTCTAAAAATAAGGAAGATGTTGCGAAACGAGCACGAGTTAATGTAATTGGTAGCAGCAGACGGTGAAAAAAGAAAGTTCTACAGTCTGTCGGAAAAGTCTGCTGAATAATTTCAACAGGTTTATGCATCAGAAAGATTAGTCCAAACTTTCTCTCTACTGGCAATTATTATGATTGAAACATCTGATGAACATTTCTGATGGTTAAACTCTAATAGCTAACGATTAAATTAGTCGAAACCCTTCAATCTTCCATTTGATTAATATAAATTACAGTACAAAGTTTTTCCAACAGACTGTATATTCAAACAAGGAAGGTATTTCAATCTATAAAAGTTTCACTTTTATAATAATCGATTTCCTAACGCTCGAGCGAATTTCACGCGTGTTAAGCATCGTTGTAACTTCCACGTGCCAACGTGTCCCTTCAACAAATATGAACAGTTTCATAAAAAAGAAATATATCACAAGGAATCACGTTAACATCAAAACTAACTCTACTATTGTTTGCAGTTTGTCTAACATTTGATTGCAGTGACAGTGTTCTACGATTCTGACAAAGTCGCTTATCCTAACACGATCTAACCACATCCTAACGATTATTACAGAAGCTCGAGAGTAACGAGAGGCGAGGCTAACCGAGCGCGACGATTATTCGTTCTTTCCGTTTTCTCTTAACGGCAGTAATCGCTTATCGTTGACCCTACTGTTCTTGAAATGTATAAGCGTTACGCAAATCCCTTGTCAAACGAATTCTGTTTGCATCGACGTCACTTTGTGTGTGTTGGTATAAATCTTCTTTTTCTTTGATGAATATTTGATGAGTGACGAGGTATATGTAGACTCTGCTTATATTTCATTCTTAGTATTTTTAGTTTCGAGTTATTTCAGTTCTGATTTTCATACGTTTTCATGAGATTTCATCTTTGTATACTCACTTCAGTTAGATCGTAGATTCTTATGTTTGATCCTTGGAGTCTGTTTTGATTGGATCCTTAGATTTTATGCTTGGACTCTAGCATTTGGCTGGATCTTTATATCTGATCTTTAGATTATAGCATTCAATTAGATCCTTGTACTTGGTCCTTGGATTCTAACATTTGACTAGAACATTACATCTGATGTTCAGATTCTAGCATTCAATTGGACCTTCACATATGATCCTCCAATTCTAGCATTTAACTGGATCCTTACATCTGATGTTTAGATTATAACATTCAATTAAATCCTTGCATCTGGTCCTTGGATCCTAACATTTGACTGGACCCTCTCATCTGATGTTTAGATTATAGCATTTAATTAAATCCTCCTTAGACTTTAGCATTTGACTAGATTCTTACATCTAATGTTTATATATTAGTAGCAGTGATATGTTCCTAATATTCAATCCTCATATCATAACATTTAACCCATTCATAAAAATGGATACATTTTCCAAATATCAAAAAGGGTCGAATACAATATATTGAACTATCAATGTTTACCGAAGGGTTGCGTCACGTTTACACACAGTAGAGAGTGGTTGCATGCGTCAGAAGTTAAAGGTCGCCGTAGAGACGAACGAAAGGGACATTCCAGGAGAGATCCAACTTTTATTTTACCTTCGATCTCGACTTCTCTACGGTGGCCTGAATGGCTCGTGTGTGTTGCTGCATCGATTCGTGCCTGCAAGATCAGCGACTCTAAGAACGAACCGAGCATTTCTCGCTTCCGTTCTTATCTGCTCGCTTCTTTTCCTCACGGAACGCGTTCTACGACTGGAAGTTTGCTCGATGGAGATTGTCCGAACGTGCTCGGGAACTGGTCACGAATAGTATTGTTCTGTTTTCGGTGTCGTTCACGAAACTATCGATATACAATGGATCTACCCTTTCGGTCTGATAGGTGAAGCTACAAATCATCGGAGTACTCGAAAACTATGGAAGCTTTCTATAATTTGATGAATCATTTTGTTAAATACTGTGGCAAGATGTGTGATTTGATACAAGAGTACATTTAACATTTTGAGAATTTTGTAAAGGTAATTTTAGTATTTTTGCGATGATAAAATAGGTAATTGATTAAAGTGGAACTCATTTCACGGTAAATGTTTCACTGGTTCAATATTTGCGATTCCATCACGAATGGTATGGAATATTATTAACCCCTTAACCGAGCGAGACGAGATAGAAGATATTTGCGAAGGAATAAAGATGATTAAGTGCCTCTGGCTCCTTCAAATCCGTTTCACTTGGTCAAGGATTCTGGGCGTTTCTCTTTTCAAATATCAGCTTCTAGTACTTCGTGCCAGATTTCTTTTGAAGTAGCACGTCATCAATCGTTTCCTTTAAATTCACTCAAATTTCGATTCAAGATCATTTCCTGCTAAATTACCTATCCACATTACTCAAATCCAAATTCGTTTCTAATCATCCAGTTCTGGCAAAAACCGTGAAAAATACCGGTTAGTCGAGATCGATCAGAAAGGAAGTCCAGACTCAAAAGGAGCTTGAACTTCCAGAAGCAAACATCCAGTCGTAGAGCGAAGTCAACCGATCTTGGCCGTGGATCGACGAGATCGTCGATCTTGGCCCAGATGGCGAGAAACAAAAGAGTTTCAGGTATACAGGGTGTTCCATAACGGGTGAGCTATTAGTACTGGAACAGTGGGAGTTTGTGTAACCTTACGATGCTTTACTACTTTATTTATTTATTGTTACTCTTTATTTTGAAGTCAGAGCATAGATTACTTACTTGACTATTTTAGTAATATTCTTTGTACAAGTACTTAATTTACAACACAAGTTACAATAATTTTTAGCCAAGTTCAACTTGCATCTTCTTTAAAAATGATATTTTATCATGAATTTACCTTTGACCAAGTTAAATTATTTCTACAATATTAAACGAGTGAAGAGAGTTACAAGTTAGGGTCATTTTCAAGGATACTTGATTATGAAGACTAATTGAAATTGTCCTTAAAATTCAGTTTCGAAGAGAACACGAGTTTGATGCGTCACATGTGATCTCTAAGATTCTAGCACAAATTAAAATAATTTTTAACCAAGCTCAACTTGCATCTTCTTCAAAAAAGTTATTTTATCGTGAATTTACCTTTGACCAAGTTAAATTATTTCTACAATATTAAACGAGTGAAGAGAGTTACAAGTTAGGGACATTTTCAAGGATACTCGATTATGAAGACTAATTGAAATTGTACTCAAAATTCAGTTTCGAAGAGAACACGAGTTTGATGCGTCACATATGATCTCTAAGATTCTAGCACAAATTAAAATAATTTTTAACCAAGCTCAACTTGCATCTTCTTCACAAGATATTTTATCATGAATTTACCTTTGACCAAGTCAAATTATGTCACCAAAAAAAATTTGCAATAAATGAAGTAGATTTATATATTTACACAAATGACTTGCACAATCCAGTATATAAACCGTGTGCCACGTTATGGGACACATGTATAAGTTAGGGAGGGTTTCGATACAAAAAGGGAACATAAGGTGAAACCGTGTGTATGTGTGGTTTATACAGGTTGCCCGTAAATTGGCCATGGTTGAGGCCGATCTAGAACGTGCCGAAGAGCGTGCCGAGGCCGGAGAGTCGTAAGCATCCGTTTTTAAACAGCAGACATCCTTTTTTGAGCCTTTACTAAAGCGACTGCCCACAAGCGAGTTTGTTTCCCTTTTTTACGTCACACATAATCACGTGCCGCGCTCCAGAAGGACACACACCTGTCACACACACGCACACGTCGTGCGTTACCTGTTCGACGATAACGAACCACGTGTGAAAGTGTCGATCTAACACTCCCTGTTATGCGTGTCACGTTTCTTTTTCAGTTTGCCGCATTTTCTTTCGTTTTTCTTATGCTCTTTAGAGCTCTTTATTCAGCTCTTTGTTTCTAGTCATTTGATGTCTTTGAGATGGGGAAATCTGAGAAGTTTGCGAAATTCTATAGGATTAGCAGCGATTTATTTTATATTTTTGTTCAAATTTTGAGGAGGTGGTTTGGCAACTTTCACTTGAGAATTACACGAGACTTACCATAAATCCAAACGAAAACATGGCAATTTAAATGAAAATATGAAAATTATCAAATTAGTTGCCAAGCTAATAAAAAGTGAACTGAACTCAGATTTTCTTCTGATCCTACCTCCAAGAGCACGAAACAAGTACGTTATAGTCTCCCAAGTTTTGGAAAACGTCATCGTTTCGTTCTCTTGGACAACAGGTTTTTAGGAATGTTTTTTTACCAAATTACGCAGCAGCAGATCCGCAGATTAGACTACGAAGAGGAAGCTGATTTGCATGCGTTCATAACATACGAATTCTTGTTTCTTTTTTTTTAATTTTTCGTTGTAAGCCCTTAAATCCTTGCTTTGTCGCATGACACGTGTGGCTGTTGATCACAGGTTGCCAGAAAACTAGTCATGATGGAACAGGATCTCGAGCGTGCCGAGGAGAAGGCTGAACTTTCGGAAGGGTAGGTGGTTCAGTTTGTGCATGAATTGTTTCCTTCTGTTCGTCCTTCGGTTTTTACAAGTACGCTTGTCTAACACGAATGAACGCTGGTCGATAAGAATTTTTCCGTTCGTTAATCGGATATAATCGATTATAATGTTATCAATATCGCTGTTGATATCATTTCATTTTGAGGGTCATAGTATTACAAGATTTATCGTACCATGTTGAAATTTTAACATTGAAACGACTTGTAAATTTTGAAACGACCTGTACAATTTAATTTTTATTCGCATATTCCCTTAAGTACTTTCTTGTACTCATATTCTTATATTCTCGAATTAAATCATTATTTAAAATTACCCCCCATTTTTATTTTTTGTACGAATTTAAAAATGATTCATTTGAAATTACATTTTTTTAAGTGGTTTACTTTGTGTATTTAACAGTTATACATTTATATATATGTTTATGTACACACAGTGAAAAGTAATTGACAGAATTCTAAATTTAAAAGTGATCACCTATTTTGAACCGCCCTGTACAAAGGTTCTCAAGCAAAGTCTCACGAACAAAATTTATTCACATACCAATGAGTTTCCAACTCCGTAAAGTCTGACTAATTAGTATAAACTTGAAATAAAAACGACCAGATGTTCATTCTCGCAAAAAAAAAAGAGAACAAAACACACTTCAGGTAGGAATCTGAGTAAGGATCTGCAGCATTGTTAACGATTACTTGATTTTGCAGGAAGATCGTCGAACTGGAAGAGGAACTACGCGTGGTTGGCAACAACTTGAAGTCCCTCGAGGTCTCTGAGGAGAAGGTAAGTATCTGGAACGATTCGTGGTACAAAAAAATACCTATAAAATGTCGAAATATATACATCTGTTCACTTTCTCTTTCTCCTTTCAAATTCATTTCTAGCAAGAACCGCGACAGATTCGCGTTACCTTTTTCTTTTAAGTAATTTCCGTCATGTGGATGAATATCTTGCTCGTGATGGCGTTACAATTATCGGCTAGGGAATAAGTCACACAAGACGGTCTTAAACGCGATTTCACTTTAGAACTTTTTGGTAAATTGGAGATGTGGAGGTTTGGGGAGATGAGTTCACACGTTGACTGTTACGGAGTTGCAGATTTGGGGATTTTGGGAGGTTGGGGGTTTTGGGGTTTGAAGTTTCTAAGATTTTGCAGATTTGGGAATTTTGGGAGTTTGGAGGTTTGGGGATTTTGGGGGTATTGGGATATGAAGGTTTGGAATTGTTAAAATTTGGAGATTTGGGAGTTTTAGAAGTTTAGGGGTTTTGGGATTTGAATGTTGGAACTTTGCAGATTTGGGAATTTTGGGAGTTTGAAGATTTGGGGATTTTGGGGGTTTTGGGATATGAAGGTTTGTAATTTTTAAGATTTGGAGATTTGGGAGTTTTAGAAGTTTAGGGGTTTTGGGATTTGAATGTTGGAACTTTGCAGATTTGGGAATTTTGGGAGTTTGGAGATTTGGGGATTTTGGGGGTTCTGGGATATGAAGGTTTGTAATTTTTAAGATTTGGAGATTTGGGAGTTTTAGAAGTTTAGGGGTTTTGAGAGTTGAATTTTGGAACTTTGCAGATTTGGAGATTTGGGGATTTTGGGATATGAAGTTTTGTAATTTTTAAGATTTGCAGATTCTGGGACTTTGGGGATTTTAGAAGTTTAAGGGTTTTGGGATTTGAAGTTTTCATCACAAATTTTCCAACTACAGTATTGCTCCGAAATAAGCAACACGTTCGGTATCGTTCAATTACCTATTTCGAAGCAGTTTGTTTTGAGGGAATACTGTATTATAAACGTTCAATCACAAAGATCAATTTTAAAGTAAATAATGAACAAACAAAAATACGACCACAAAAGGTTATCACCCATCACATATATCAAATCAGTGACTTAAACCGAACAACGTTCTAATAATTCTCTCGGCATCCATTCTCGCCATCGTGACAGTCAACGTGTTCCGAACAGCAAAACCTTCATCCTCGAAGAAAATTGCAGGTCGAAAGTTGTATGACGGGACGAAATCGAAGACAGAAAAACGTGTCTAGCGACGCGTGAAATAGTCGTCGGTGATTTTTCGCGATGAGTTCCCGGCAAATCAGCGCGTCTTTTTTTTTTGCTCGTCTCAGCGATTTGTAAAAGAGAAGAAGTTTAAAGGACTAATAAAAGCGTGAACACGCGAGTTGACGGATGAACGCGTAAAATTTCTCTGAGGATTGAAATAATGTTGACACGTTGCTTAAACCATAGGCCAACCAACGCGAGGAGGAGTACAAGAACCAAATTAAGACACTTACCACTCGTCTAAAGGAGGTACAGATCCTTTGGCAGTGTTTTATTTTGCATCTGGTTATTTTGCCAAGAGTGTGTGATTTGTCGTCGCGAATATTCCCGTCGTTCTTTTTTCACTTATATCAAATCATTAACCGCTCGCTCACCGAAACCCTTCTTTCACTTACCATTTTTTTCTTCCTTCCTCGTGTATGTATTTTTCTTTTTTTAAGTTTGTAAAAATAACGTAAGCTCGTTTTTTTTCTCTTTTTTTATGCTTGACTAAACATAGGCGACGCAAAGAGAGGAGACTTTCGTGGGACAGGTGAAGATTCTGGATAGTCAATTGAAAGAGGTAAGTAATCGGTAGGAACTTTCGGGAGACAGTAAATTATTTACACAGAATACAGTTTTTCTTTAATCTTCACTCTTTTCGATATTTTATCTATTTTTTTTACTTGTCGTACTTGCTACTGTAATTGTATATATTTCTGTATTAAAAGAATTCTTTGCAAATAAATGTGGATGATGGCGATAAAATGTGTTGATCTTTGAATGTGACAGAGAAAAAAATAAAATTAATGTGTTTATCACGTTAGGAAATTTATCTGAAAAATTTGTGATATTTCTCAGGAAAAAACTATTGTCAGGACTGTTGTAAAACTTGTCAGGAAAAAATTATTGTAAAATTTGTGGAAAAAAAAAATTATTGTAAAATTTGTCAAAAAAAAATTATCCTAAAATTTCTAAAAAAGAAAAAGAACTGTTGCGAAATTCATCAGAAAAAATGTGTACCCACTAAATAATTTTATCAATTAAATTTTTCTTGAGTAATAGTAACATCAAAATTTAAAATTAGCTTTGAACATTGAATCTTCAAACAAAAAAAAAGTTGTACTTTTTACAGCAGCACAGGTAACATAGACTCAGTTAAAGTTCGTTTAGTAATTTTCTTTTTATTACCTATGTACATATTTGCTTAGTTATTTATCACGTCCATGATCCTTTACACTAGTATCTTACAATGCACAGTTTTTTCAAATATTACGCATAAGTACGAAATTAACGATTCGATTAAGTGGTTCATGAGCCATGAAAGGGTATGTCGAGTAATAAGGTACGATAGTGTTTCACGTGTTTGCTCAATTAACGTGTGTGTTATGACTTTATAAAATAATATATTATAATATTAATATTTTTGAAATTGTTGAATATAACATAACGGCATGGAGTGGAGTTTTACTAATAAAATCCGTCGATTTTAAAAGAAATTTGTATATTTGTGCAAAAATTGAAATTCGTATAATTTTGTTAAAATTGAAATTTGTATAATTCTGTGGGAATTTAAATTATTTATATAATTCTCTAAAAATTGAAATTTCTATAATTCTGTAAAAATTGAAATTATTTATATAATTCTCTAAAAATTGAAATTTCTATAATTCTCTAAGAATTGAAATTATTTCTAAAATTCTCTAAAAATAGAAATTTATATAATTCTCTAAGAATTGAAATTATTTATATAATTCTCTAAAAATTGAAATTTCTATAATTCTCTAAGAATTGAAATAATTTATATAATTCTCTAAAAATTGAAATTTCTATAATTCTCTAAAAATTGAAATTATTTCTATAATTCTCTAAAAACTGAAATTTCTATAATTCTCTAAGAATTGAAATAATTTATATAATTCTCTCAAAATTGAAATTTCTATAATTCAGTAGAAATTGCAATTATCAATATACTTTCAAAAACAACAAAAATTGTAATAACATATAAATTCGCATAAGAATGTTACGTATGCGTAATATCTCAGTAAATTCCAACATGCACGAAAGTTTTAAAATCGACGACAAATCACATGAACACGATAATTTCCGTATACTCACGTATCTGTTCTTGTTATCCTAGGCTGAAGCTCGTGCCGAGTTCGCGGAAAGATCCGTGCAGAAATTGCAGAAGGAGGTCGACAGGCTCGAAGGTGCGTATTCATCGGGCGTTTTTATTCTCATCAATTATCATAATAGAGACCTCTCAGTTTACCCGAACATTCTTTACAAATTTTTCTTCGATCAAGTTGCGTAGGAATTTCGTCTCTTTTCATCCTTAGAGATTACTATTACTGTATTACATATTTTAGAGATTATATTTGTTAGAGTAAGAAAGAGAGAGAGATTTACAGATTGAAGTATAGAAATCGAAGGGAGCAGATCATTGAAAAGTAAGATTCAGGACCTCGTTTTACTACCGTAACATCTCTTCGCTGAATTTACTATCCCATTTGCTGTGAGTGAGCCTATTAACAAAGATGGATGACAGTCATTGCAGAAGTGACGTGTAAATAGCTTTTTGTTAAATTTCTGCTTGGGTGGTGATAGGAATATTGTGGTGGGGTTGGTTGATTGTAATTATAAGGTAATTCGATGCACCAGGGAGCAATGGTGTAAGATTTGGACTGGGATCTGGATAATAAAAGGTGGAACCTTGTATATGTAGAAATTTCTAAATTTTCATATCCTGAATTTCCTACCCTTTCACATTCTAAATCTCCAAATTCCTGAGTCTCCAAACTTCTCAACTTCAACTTACTCAAATTTCCCAGAGTCCCTTGATCAGAATTTATCAGGTCATCTGACCTAAGTGTCGACTCTTTAAAGTTGTAACTAAACCCACTCCAAACTGTAACTACACCAATATCACAGCAATTTGTAATCCTTGCACCCCTTTTGCTACAAGAAAATCTAAGATAAAATCTTCAGTAAAAGATTGAGTACCAAAAGAAGGTATTTTGAATCGATATTATGAGACTACTGTAATGACTGTCGTTCACCGAAATAAAAAAGACTCTAATCGCCAAAAAGCACCTTAACAGCATTAAACACGGTGACCTATAGAAAAAGAAACAGACAATCATGCAACTAGGTCATTGCGTGTGCCGTGTGTTCGTGTGTCGTGTGTCATGTGTCATATATTGTATGTTCGTGGTCTCATTCTAACCTCGACAAGACTTACATACACTCGATCGCAAACAATGCGATTGAACGATAGTGGATGATCACGTTTATACACTCGAGTGCAACGTAGGCTTCATTTCAACATCTGAGTCTATCTTCCATTTTGGGATATTATTCCTATAAGAAAATTTTCATATTTCATATTATAACATTTTTACTTTTACATATCCTCAGATTCTTCAGTTCCTGGGTTCCTACATTCTTAAGTTTCGGACCTAAGTATCCTATTAAGTATCTTCTCAGATACTTAAATTTTGTAATTTGCAAATTTTACAAATTTCAAGCTCTTCAAATATACGAATCTTCCAAGTCTCAAGGGTCCGAGTTCCCACAATTCCGAATACTCACGCTCCCAATTTTCAAGCTCCCGAATTCCCACAATTCCGAATACTCACGCTCCCAATTTTCAAGCTCCCAATTTCCTAAATTCCCGAATTCCCAAATTTCCAAATTTCAAGCTCTCCAAATTTGCAAATTTCCCAACTTTCAAGCGTTAGAGTTTCCACAATTTCGAATACTCACGCTCTCAATTTTCAAGCTCCCGATTTTCCAAATTCCCGAATTCCCAAATTTCCAAATTTCAAACTCCCCAAGTTCCTAAATTCCCAATTTTCAAGTCCCCGAATTTCCACGTTTCCATATTTCTAAACCCCCAAAATTCCTAAATTTCCAAATTCGTGACCCCCCCAGTTTCTGAAATTTCCAAATCCCTAATCTCCCAAATTCCAAAGTTCCCAAATCCCTAATCTCCGAACTTCTAAAATTCCCAAATTGCTAACCCCCAAATCCCTAAATCCTCAAATCTCTAATCCCCCAAAATCTCAAACTCCGAGATTTGCAAACTCTCCAACCCCCAACTCCCCGATTTAAAAATTCCTAATTTCTTAAATGACCGAACCACATCCCCAAATTTCCCCTAGGAAGCCTACCTTGCTCAGCAGTGTACATTCTCCCTCTAACCAGTAATCTTTCCAGACGACCTTGCCGCCGAGAGAGAGAAAAACAAATTGCTCCAGGAGGAGATGGAGGCCACCCTGCATGACATCCAGAACATGTAGATCGCGTCTCGTGGCGGACAGACACACGAAACGCGATATAACAAAAGCATACACCACGAAATTCTAAAGAGCATACGTTTCGGAGTAGAACAACAACAACAACAGCAACAAAATACAGCAGAGAAATGTAGAGGCACACGTTCCGTGTGGAGACAGATAGATAATAAGCTGGGAGGGTGAAAAAAAACGAGAAAAGAAATACACGCTGTGCGAATCGAGCGCTTTTCTTGTGTGTTGTTGTGGTGCACATCATTAACATTTAACGGACAACAACAACGGAAACAAAAAAGAAAGAAAAATCGTGCGGTCTCTTTAGGCTAGACAACTTCACATCTCCCATTGTAAACGCTCCATCAGCCAAGCGCCCAATTTCGAGCGCTTCTTTATCGCCTGTGTGCGTGTGTTTACGTGTGTTTGTTGCATGCATGTGTTCTGAACGCGTTATACTAAAAGAGAGAGAGATTAAAGCGAATATCGACGGAGAGAATAACGACGAAGAGGGTGGTAGAAAGGTAGGATCGGTGTGCGGGTTTTGTCAACACAGGTTTCTTTTCTTTTTTTTTTTCTTGCTTTTTCGAGTTCTTTAATGTCTGCAAACGGTTTGTTTTTTTCTTTGTTCTTTTTTTGTAACTTTGATATTGTGAACGCTCCTTTAACGCACTCATAGCCATCTCTCTGCAAATATCCTTCAAGTTTTGTTCGAATCTTAAGGACATTTATTTGATTTAGTAACTGCAACAGTAGTGAAAATTCATACTTTTTGACGTAGTCGAATTTTTAGAAATTGTTCAACATTTTATCGCCTTGATACCTTCGTTTTCAAGATGGCTATGAGCGTGTTAATCGAACTGATTACTAACTGCGAACGAACATTGTACAATCGGTAGCTTGAAAAATAAAGGCCGAAGCGTGTGTACATCGAGAAAGAATTTCGATCGATTCTGTCAAGTATTCAGTCGTACGTTCCGCTGGCGAGTATCGCGGTCTCGAGAAAAAGTCTGCATCCGGTCTAATTTAATTCTCAGCTGTGCGATGTTAAAACGGTGTCGGAACTTATATATATACATTCGCGAGTACAGATTCTCAATTCTTTAAACGAATATTTGATCGATTTGATCAAACAGGAAACTCTTTCTCGATGCAAATACGTCTATTTAGAAAAAGGAGAGGAATGCTCGTTCGCTCTTCTCCAGTAATTCCCGCGGTTCATTACTCACGAGGAAATAAAAACGTTTTCTACCCTCTTCCATGCTCGTTTGCTAACTCGTGATAATCTAACTCACTGCCAGTCAGACGAACCTCTCGAGGAAATACGCTCTTTCTTTATTAAATTCATTCTCGGCGATTTCAAAGCGTAGCTAATTAGATCAATCGTCGGGCACCTGTTGATAATCGTATATGTACTTTAGTAAGCGTTCAATAATACATAAACTTCGTTCGATAATATATTCATAGTAGACGTTATTTAACTCAGGTCGTATATACGCGTCTTTTATAAGTAATTGCTTTCTTAAATCTTTATATGACTTTTGTAATTTAAAAGGTAGATGTTAAATCTGCAAGTTTGTACATGTACTCTTAGTGAACAAAATTTAATGTACATCCTTTTCGTGCTAGAAGATGATTCGTATATATGCGACTGCAAGTACATGTACTTTTAGTAAACAAAATTTAATGTACACCTCTTTTGTACTAGCTAATAAGTTCGTATATATACGACTGCAAGTACATGTACTCTTAGTAAAAAAAATTTAATGTGCACCTCTTTTGTACTAGTTAATGGGTTCGTATATATACGACTGCAAGTACATGTACTCTTAGTGAAAAAAAATTTAATGTACACCTCTTTTGTACTAGCTGATGGGTTCGTATATATACGACTGGAAGTACATGTACACTTAGTGAAAAAAAATTTAATGTACACCTCTTTTGTACTAGCTGATGGGTTCGTATATATATGACTGCAAGTACATGTACTCTAAGTAAAAAAATTTAACGTACCCCTCTTTCGTATCAGCAGGTACATATACGACCATGTAAACAAAAAAATAAGTGTAGCAAATGTCTAAGAGTATGTGTACAATTTTTCCAAGATTCTTCCTCGAAGCGTATATATACGACTTGACCAAGAGCCTAACAGCATATTCCTCGAAGGTGAATCTGCGTGAAAACAAACGCAGCAATAGAATGCGAACGAGCGAAACACTTATTTTGCGTTCACATCGAGGTTTACCAATCGTGCCTCCGCATATTCGTCGCTTTTGAACGAACAATCGGTAGATCAATCGCGATTGTTAGCTTCGAAGAATTTCGTTCCGATCGATCGATAACCAACGAAAAGAAAAAGAAGAAAAGGGACAAAGAGATTCGCGACGCCTTGTATTATCGTCATGATGGGTGTCGGTGATTTTTCGCGCGAAACTTCTCTCCTCTTTGTCGCTGAAATACGCGCCCCGAGGCGCGGAAAAACTGCCCTGTAGCGATTTTTCCTTGCAACGATGTCCTCCTTCGAGTGTTCGATCGATCGTCGAAGAATCTTGCTCTAATCGACATTCCATGCATGCTTGTGCAATATTTAACGACTGGACACGATCGTTGTTTCTTAAAGTTTCGAGCAGTTTACGAAATTTCGGAAAATTTTCTGACTCAAGTTAGACACAAGACACCCGAAGAGAGACACGCGCATCCTCCGAACGGAAATTATAATTATTACGATTAATATCGAGTGATAGAGACAGAGAGAAAGATAACAAGTGTGTACGTATGCGAGAGAGAAAGAGATAGTGTGATTAATTGAGAAACGAAGAAAGCACAATAATTAGGAACCCACGTGTCCTATGCCGTTTAACGATTAATTTTTGTTATTCCCGTTTTTCCCGACGAATGCCGCGAGAGGGAAAATCTACCGGAAAAGAAGATGAAAAACACTCAGATCGCTTGAGTTTACACTTGAGAGTTTTTAGTTTATTAATTTACTTAATATTAATACGAAAAAACGAATGGAACGATAAAATAACACTAATATCATTGTAATGATAATGATTATTATTATATATATATTGCTATTATTATAAAACTGTTTATAATATATATTTTAATTTTGAAAAAAATGCGTGTACTTTGTGTGCTCTTTTTTTAATAATTAATCCTTGATTCGTTAACAATTCCATTGTGCGCGATAACACACGCTGCCAAGTTGCGTTTGAGAGCTGTGCGTGTTGCGTGTATGTGTGCGTGTGTGTATAGTTGTTGCATGCCACACAACGTGTAACCGGAGGACAACCAATGCGGTACGTATCGAAGAAAAGTGGTGAGTAAACTTGCTCGTTTATTTTTTCTTAGCTACTTTTACGAGAACTCGTAAAGTTCTTTCGCTTCGCATGAACCCTCCTTCGTCCACATTTTTCGTTTACATAGGATCAGTCCTTGTATAAAGTTGCATGACAGACATTCCACGATTTAATTACTTTGGAACTTTTCTTGGGAAAAAGTTTCAAGGAATGTTTCGAGCTCGTGCAATTTTACTGTTAGTAAATTCTGTTTCGTAAATATTTTTCATGCTCCCTGAGTTTTTTAAATATTAGATTTAGACATTTTTATTTTAGGGGATGATAGATTAGAAATCAGATTTCTGACTAGTCGATTTATTACAAGTAATTCGAATTATATTGCAAAAGGCTATTTTTTGAGATTTATGTAGTTTTTAAGTATTTTGCAGGTATCTTTATGGAAATGGTACTTAGATACTTTATTATTTAACGAATAACGAATTGTAAATTTTACCAATTACAAGGTTTTTAGTAAAATTTCATTTCAGAAGATCAACAATTTTCAATTCTTTATTCGTCGCACCAATATCGTACACATCACTTCATTTGAACTAAACAAAGCCTCCACATCAGTCCCCCGATCAATCTGCTTCAAACTCCGCTTCCCGTCCACGCTTCAAAGATCCCTGACAGCTTATACTCGAACAGCTAAACCAAGTTCAAAGCTTAATATCGAGTCTGCTCAAACGGCAGTAGACTATCGAAGAGAGTACGAACGTTCTTCGAATAACATTGGGAATGCTTGCAGATGATATGGTGGTTGAGAAGGAGAAGTACAAGGAGATCGGAGATGGCTTGGATCAGGCATTCATGGAACTCTACGGCGTCTAACGAGCCACTAACCAACCCCTCTAACGCTTCAACCAAAATATATTTCATACAAATACCTTTCTCACAATCTCGCTTGCTCTTAACACGCGTAATCCGTAAGTTACTTGCGAGCTTCCTAACCCACTTGGCTGCTAACGATCTCTTTAAAGAGACTCGCTTTCAAACTTTTATCTTTTCTTTTGCTTCTCTTGACTCTTTACTTTGAACACTTCTAAATTATATTTGTCAGCGAATAAATAATTTGTAAGAGAAATTTGTCATTTCTGACAAGCTAGTGAAGGGTTTAAGCAACTCTCGAGTTCAAAGTAAAGAGTCACTTAATCATTTATAAATTAAAATCATTTCATTTTTAATACAAAACGGGTTCATTTCAGTTTCCAAAATAAAGATGGGTTTAAGGGATGTAATCGATATATTTGCAACGTTTTAATCCGAACAATTTTCATTGCAGACGAGCTTGTACACGAGAAGGAAAAGTACAAATACATCTGCGACGATCTGGACCTCACCTTCACCGAGTTGATCGAGAAGAATTAATTGATAGCCAGCGATCGTGTCGTCCATCGACTGTCCAAGTAAATTGGCCGCTCGATTTCGTCGAGAAACACGGAGATGCGCGCAAGATCATCGTGGTTCAAGTCAAAACTCAGCCAATTTGCTTTTTACGTGTAATTTAAAAAATTAAAAACGTTCCGCGTTCCGATTCTGTTTTCCCTTTTCTTTTTTATTCGTCGACGAGTCCTTTCCCAAGCTTATCTTCGGTTCTTTTTTTAAATATTCCTATTCTTTTTCGTTTCGCTAATCACCTTGGTAAGTAATCGCGTCGATTTGTTTGTAAGGCGAATAAAAAATCTAAAACGATACTATCTTTTTCTATCTACTGTACGTCGACAACCGTAGAAGATTTATGTATCACTGGAACCGTTCAGATATCTATCATAAATTGCAATAAAGATTCCAAAAACTATTGAACAACTTCTTCTTTTAAACCCCTCGTTTACTATATTCTTCCTGATAGTGTAAGGTCCTATGTACACCTAGGTTTTATTCATATTTGACAGGACTCGAAATGAAGTTTCCTATTAATTATAATTATACATCACTTACAATTAATAACGTTATGATAATTTATAATAATTGTTAGACCCCTCTGTAAAACTTGTAAAAAATACACGAATGTAACGTAGAATATCTTTTAAACAATGTCTAAAATCTGCGAGTAGTTTTAATACTTCAAGTCCTGGCGTCCTGACAAATTTAATTAAAAACCAGGGACCTAGAATTCACCAAAACTCACGATACCCTAAGTACAATACCTATGTAACCAATATTGTTAAAGTCGAATTACCCAACTCCCCCAACTAAACAGAAATAACACTCTCTCTCTTTCTAATCGAGACGGTATAAAGTAGGCATCTAACACCGTGTCCGACTAATACCTCGTTCCCTTCCTTTTTTGCGTTGCAGACGTGGTGGTAAACGAGCGCTGTAAGTACAAAGCGATCGCCGACGAGATGGATCAGACGTTCGCCGACCTGGCCGGATATTAGCAGCCAGGCTGATTCGACGAGAGCGACGTACACGCGTATAAACACATATGTTATTTAAACGAGAACAAAAAAGCAAAGGACAGATCACGCTACGTTAAGAGACACTGCCAGCACGCAGACCCTTCATCGCACGACGCCCAAAAATATTGGTTTTCTCGATGAGGACGAAGAGGATGCGACGCCAGGCGTCTCCTCTGCACCTACACAGCGTCAGACGCTCGATAGATCTTTCTGATAGTCTATCATAGATCTTTCCTTCGTTTTAGTTTCATTCATTGTAGACTATTATGGCAGGATAAAAACTATTTCAAATAATTCTAAGCATGTACCATTGCGATGGTAATTGGAAACTATAGATCTTTAATGTTAATTTGTATCGGCCATGATAGAATTCCACTGTCGTAGTATTGTTAGAATATCGAATTATGTCATAGTTTTGAGCATTTGATTTTTGAACATGTGTCATAGTTTCTTTAGAACGTGATTTTTTATCGAAATGAGATTGTATAGAATTTCCTTCAGTGGAAATTCGAGGGCATTGATTTACATAAGTTTGTTTCAAATTATTAAATTGCTAAATGTTTCAATCTAAAACCTCAGTGCCCGCGAATTCACCACTGAAAGAAACTAAGGGAGAGGAATTGAAATTTATATCAGCAACGTAAGAAATAGCAGAATGTAGATTTGAATGCATTTGTAGTTTGCGCAAAATTTGTGACAAGGCTGTTTTCAGAGCCCCCCTTTTTTAGCTCTCTGTTTTGTAGATCTTTATAGACTTTTAGATTTATTACAGGTGTAAGCAGATGTTGGCCTAGGCCAACGGGTTACGCCCAGAAAGAAATATTTATTTTATTTCGAGCTTCCAACTAAAAGAATTACGACTGTTTGTTCTTTTTTACGATTTGTATATTCTACATGTGTTTTTGAAAAGTTATGATTTGACAATATTTGAGATTCTGTTCTTCCTACGATTTTCGATGAACAATTTTCTGTGAGGTTCATTATAAATAAGCTAGAATAGCTCAAATGAAGATGTCAGTCGCGACACAAATCTTTGAAACTTATAATATTCTCTCTTTAACTAGTGCAGAAACTTTTCAAGTATATACTTTTCTTATTTTTAAGTTTAAAATTTAATTAGCTTCTTTCGTATAATTTTTAAAGTCGATGCTGTATCGCTGTGTAGGCATATTCTGCGTTTCATCCCCACGTTCACAACCTTCTGCCAATTATCGTGAAATTCAGCTTGTACCGTACCTGCCATCACGTAAAAAGGCTTTCCTTTGTGCCAACGAGTCCATAATCTCAACGTACTCAAACAGACACTTGCGTAGAGATAATCCACTAAAAATTACCAGATTTGTAAAGATATATTTTCTTTTGTCAGACGTGCAAATGATAGCCAAATTGCTAGGTGTCGATAAGGAATAAAAGTCTGACGATTGTTCTACGAAATTGGGAACAGTTCGAGCGTTTATCGCGAACGAAATTAAACAAATTTTCTAGCAAAAATCTCGTAAATTCGTCGAGATATTCTTGGATATATTCCAAAGTTTAAAGGAACGAATGTTTCATTGTAAACATAGATAGTAGTCTACATTAAATTACGGTCTGCGTGAAATTTACTTTTATTAACAAGCTGTTTAATTTTCTATGATACATGTTTTTCATATTAAATTTATAGAGTCAATAATTTATCTTACAAACGATAAAATGGATTCCATTAATTTCACGCAGATTCTAATCACAATTTTCTTTGCTTTGTGTCTCATGATGTTGCAAGACTGCTACATGTTTTGATTAGAAATAGCTTTTTGTATCGAGTGTTTCGCTTTTTGATAAGAAAGATAAAGTTTGTCAAAAGAAGTACGCTTCTTAAAACGTAAAATGATTAGTTATGTTATGCTAGAAAATCGAGATTTCGACTGCTCTGAGATTTTCATCACAAGCAATTTGCATCAGACTCTTCTTTTGTTTTACTAAAAAAGCTTAGAACATTTTAACACCAAAATTTATTATGTATATCTGACAATATATGAAATCTCAGCAGTTGAAAGAAAATGATAGAAAAATTGATAAGATTAAGAATGGCACGCAGTGTTTGAACATTTTCTAAAATGTTAACCACGAGAAGCTTTGTATTCAGAATTGGGCATTATTAGCGTGAATTTTTCGACGATTCTCGATGTATATTTTTACGTGGATGTGGTTCAATTCTGTACGCAATTTTCGCACAGTTAAAATGGTCGTGTGTATCAACTGAATAAAGAATCGAAAAAATTCTGAAGCATTGATTGAGACAAATTTTGCCCAAGTCTGTTTGATATGGACCCAACTAAGAATGTGCACTTAACAGTCGCGATATCGGTCTTTTAAAGCGATTACCCTTTTACTGTACTTATGTCACTTTCAATAAATGTGCATTTTTTATACTTGAATTAGACGTATGTTCTCTAGTAATCGTAATTTTTGCCAGTATAAACAAATATATAGACAAATTTAAAGGACGAAGGGCAATAATTAAAGGCAACAATTTCCATAACATATTGTTTATGATCTGTTAATCATAATATAATATTATCTGTTTAAACAACGCTAACATATATTTCTGTATGTTTCACAATTGTGAGTCGTAAATTCTTATTGGCGGTTCTAATAATTACAAAAAGAGGAGAAATAATATTATTAATAATATAATAATAATAATAATAATAATGCTAACATGTTTCCAAAAATATGAATATATCTTCTCGCGGTTTTATCACGAAGTCGAACGACGACGTCGCGTGAATGCTTCACGTAACAACATTACTATTATTTGTCAGCTCTTTCGCAACAGAACTGTCCACGTATCTCAGGTAAATGCAATGTGTTTAGATATCCGAGGAACCACAGATTTTTCAACGGATCAGAATTTATATTTCTCAAACAAACAGCGGAATATAAGAAGTGGGGCTCGGTAAGATTCATAAAACATAATTCATTTGAGGCTTCTAGGTGTAAGGAAATCTCAACAGATAATTTTGGACAAGTTTTCAACTTATCAATTGCCCACGTATCTTTGTAACAATTTATATGGATCACGTGGATATTTTTTTAAACAAGAGAACGTTCTTTACATGGCTTACACCTGGAAGACTCGGATACTCCACAATGGCGACACGATGCTCTCGGTTAATTTCTCCGCGATCACTATATTATCTGTACATTAATTGGACATCGAACGGGCATAAAACTATCGAGAAGATCGAGACCATCGCGAGGAAGTATTTTATATTGTATTTATAAAAGCTATCAGATCCTTTCAGCACTGTTCTATTCACAAAAACGCGTGGCGAATCGAGAAACAAGCTTTGTTCAATCGCACGGAATTCATTAATCAAAATACAATAGACTCCCGTTATATTGCCATCTTTGCGCTCGCGGCGCATCTCCGCCATTGAAAGACGCGGAAATATCAAATCCAGACAAGAAGACTATCGAAGGAAAAATCTTTTGTCTAATCAAACACGCTGCCGACTAACAATCCTCTATTCTTTACCATCGAAGGCAATATAACTAGAATCGATTGCATTCTAACATTAATCATTTGACCGCGAATCACAATACAATGATTATATACTTTACGAAGCACGCAATTAAAATATTTTTATCCCCTCATCTTAAGCACGAGTTATTAATTACAAGAGTATTTCCAAATCAGCTTACAATTAAAAATAAACCCTAAATAAAAAAGAAAGAAATAATACTTTGTTACAGTAAATCGAAAGACTCGTTTCTTGTACGAATTAAAATATCAATTCTTTCATTTGCAAATATTAGCAGCACTGAAAGGATCATAGAAAGTCGAAGAAACATTTTTTTATCTTCTCGCGGTTTTATCACGAAGTCGAACGACGACGTCGCGTGAATGCTTCACGTAACAACATTACTATTATTTGTCAGCTCTTTCGCAACAGAACTGTCCACGTATCTCAGGTAAATGCAATGTGTTTAGATATCCGAGGAACCACAGATTTTTCAACGGATCAGAATTTATATTTCTCAAACAAACAGCGGAATATAAGAAGTGGGGCTCGGTAAGATTCATAAAACATAATTCATTTGAGGCTTCTAGGTGTAAGGAAATCTCAACAGATAATTTTGGACAAGTTTTCAACTTATCAATTGCCCACGTATCTTTGTAACAATTTATATGGATCACGTGGATATTTTTTTAAACAAGAGAACGTTCTTTACATGGCTTACACCTGGAAGACTCGGATACTCCACAATGGCGACACGATGCTCTCGGTTAATTTCTCCGCGATCACTATATTATCTGTACATTAATTGGACATCGAACGGGCATAAAACTATCGAGAAGATCGAGACCATCGCGAGGAAGTATTTTATATTGTATTTATAAAAGCTATCAGATCCTTTCAGCACTGTTCTATTCACAAAAACGCGTGGCGAATCGAGAAACAAGCTTTGTTCAATCGCACGGAATTCATTAATCAAAATACAATAGACTCCCGTTATATTGCCATCTTTGCGCTCGCGGCGCATCTCCGCCATTGAAAGACGCGGAAATATCAAATCCAGACAAGAAGACTATCGAAGGAAAAATCTTTTGTCTAATCAAACACGCTGCCGACTAACAATCCTCTATTCTTTACCATCGAAGGCAATATAACTAGAATCGATTGCATTCTAACATTAATCATTTGACCGCGAATCACAATACAATGATTATATACTTTACGAAGCACGCAATTAAAATATTTTTATCCCCTCATCTTAAGCACGAGTTATTAATTACAAGAGTATTTCCAAATCAGCTTACAATTAAAAATAAACCCTAAATAAAAAAGAAAGAAATAATACTTTGTTACAGTAAATCGAAAGACTCGTTTCTTGTACGAATTAAAATATCAATTCTTTCATTTGCAAATATTAGCAGCACTGAAAGGATCATAGAAAGTCGAAGAAACATTTTTTTAATACACAAACGAATCTCGCGTGATAAAACTTAACAGCTATTAGGTAAATGTTGGTTAATGTCGTTAATTAGTTTTAAAGAGGGGCAATCAAGGTTCCCAACGATCCTTTTCGTTACTTTCTTTCACAACTAGGCAAGAAACTTTCTTATCAACGATATTACATTCCTTCGTCGTGTTGTCATTGGCGTAATTAGGATTTTTGTCTAAGGTGTTCTGCCTGGTTGAGGGTTTTGACATTTTTAAATTTGAAATCTGAGGATTTGGGGATTGGAGGTTTGCAAATTTGGGGAATTGAGGGTTTGGAAATTTGAGAGTTTGGGGAATTTAGGATTTGGAGATTTGAGTGTTTGAGGAATTAAGGGTTTGGAAATTTGAGAGTTTGGGGAATTGAGGATTTGGAGATTTGAGTGTTTGAGGAATTAAGGGTTTTGAAATTTGAGAGTTTGGGGAATTGAGGGTTTGGAAATTTGAGAGTCTATGAAATTGAGGATTTGGAAATTTGAGAGTTTGGGAATTTGAAAATTTGGAAATTTGAGAGTTTGGGAATTTGAAGATTTGGAAATTTGAGAGTTT